TAATAGTATAAAATATTCATATATGGGCCATAAAATCATAGAGCACGTGACACAGGGCTGCGTCCAAGAGAGTTTTAAAGATCTCCAAAGAAGGAGACTCCACAACCTCTCTGGGCAGCCTGTTCGAGGGCTCTGTCACCCTCACTGTCAAGAAATGTTTCCTTAAGTTCCTGTGGTACTTTTTGTGCCTCAGCTTGTGACCGTTTCCTCTAGTCCTATCACTGTCCACCACTGAAAAAAGGACCTAAGAATATCTTTAAGGGAATGTAGTGTATGAAATTGTACACTTACACACTGTTATATCACCGTGCTTCCATCGTTATAGAAGTCTGCCATGCTGGAGAATATCTAAAGACAGGCTGGAGATTCTAAAAGAATGTGAAGCTGCTAAGTTACACTTCTTCACTAGAATGAAAATCTTTAAGAAGTTTTTGMCATTTATGTCAGCTAACATCTTTAGTTGCTGTCTTTGTAGCAGAGCCAGATGTCATTGGTTATAGGTAATGCAAATTGGTCAGCAATAGTGAAAGAACCTTATAATTTACTCTGAGAATGAATAGGTGTTAGAAATAACAGGACAACTGCTGCAATGGACTCATTTCACTTTYCAGATCTGCCATCCAGTCAATTTAAATTCTTTTATAGGGAGAGAGTAGTCCGTGTAAAAATTATCAAGCTGCCTTTCTAAAGTGAATGGCCTGGTCATATGTGGAAATACTGTTTGGTGTAATGTAAGTTGAAAACCAGTCGCTGAAATTTGAATACCAGGAAAGCTATTTGAAAATATAAAAACCTATTGTTTCCTTGGGGCCTATTAACTTCCCTGGTTCAACAAGGGTTCATCCTAAGCAAATGGATCAAATTCTTTTAACAGTGAAAAGTATATTTGTGGAATGGCTGTCAATAGGAGGAATGCTTATCCATACTAATTACTTAGAATATGAAATAAACTAGCACAGAACTTATAAAAATGAGTATTTGAAGTATTTTGAAAGCATATAAACTGAGCTTCATCAACTAGGACAGCTTGATGATTTTGATACCATTTTGTTCGCAGAAAAGTCATAGAATTTGGTAAGTTCCTGTATATAATATTTTGAAAAGAAATGCATTCTATTAACATATATATAGCCTCCGAGAAACATGGGAAAACTGTAAAATTAATGCTACAGTTCACTCTTCCACATCATATGTATTGCTTTTCAGAGTATTTTTGTTCACAGGCTTGTTATTTGCTTTCTGTAGAGGGTGTTGAGCTTCAAGGCCCAATAAAAAGTCTTTTTACCCTGGAAACCAGACTGTCTAAATTGTGCTTGCATGGCCTGTTATGGCAGTGAAAAGAGGAGGGAGAAGGAATCAACTGAAAATAGAATTTCTTCAAATGGATTCTGTTTGTCATATACACATTGTGGAAGCTAAGGAAATTGAAAAGAAATATTTATGTAGTGGCAGGAAATGTTAAAGTATCATCCAGATGCCTTTTTAATTTTCTGCAGATTTAGCAGATGGTTTCTTTAGAACACACTGAAATTTAGACATAAGTACAGCAGTGCACATTAAAAAAAATTATTTGTAATCATGAAAATTCCATATGTTGGGAGAAACTGTGATGAGACAGCATATTAACAAGAATTTCTGAGAAGAGCAAGTGATAACAGAATATCTCCTGTTACAAAGTTCACGTGTTGGTTGTTATAATCAACATAATGTGGTACTGGTATTTTAGATATACTACAGATAAATACATCAGTAAACATATTGTTCAGGATGATTTTTCCAGGAAAGCCACTTTTTTTTCCTGGTAAACCCAGGTTTATCCTGGTAAACCTCATAAACATTAATTAACCTTTGTAAGTATTGCACCAGAAATTGATAGATTCATTCATAAAGATTTTAATTTTTAGACTCTTCTACCATTGCAATATTTTTCTGTTAGTGTAATTTAACTGCAGTCATTGGAATGCAGACTGTTTTTTTGGGAGGAATAATTGAGCATTAGCAACAAGATCTGATTCAAGATTTTATACTAAAAGTGAAATTTATGCAGAGAGTGTGCATTAGCTGCACTATCTTTTTGTTTGAAAGAAGATGAAGAATTTGCACTGGTTATTCCTAATAGATTTCTGAAGACAACTTGAACAAGAACAGGAATAGTATGTTTAGTAATGATTACTTACAGGARAAAGAGAAGCAATAAAATAGGAATAAGACACCAGAAAAATAACAGAGATTACACTAAAAACAAGTATTTAAACTCTTCCCTAGTGTTRAACAAGATTTTTACTTCATCATTCAGAAAGTCCTTCTTTCAAAAGGCTCTTGTTGCACAACTGGGCAAAATATATATATTTTCTTGTGTGCTTGAAATTGTGTGTTAAATCACTAATGAACACACAAAAAGAATGAAATAAAATACAATTTTTGATAAAAACTTCAACTAGGGATCCCAACAATGCTACAGTTGAGTTGATTAACAAGACAGACATGTTCTTGAAAGGCTTTTTCAGCACTGTTTAACTATTTTATGGAATTAACATGCTTGGAAAACCATCCCTTTTCTGTATCAATGCAGAACTAGTTGAACAAAGTGAAAGGACAATAATGTAAGCATATTCCTTAAAAATATACTAGGATATCAGTGCTCTTTTCTTCCTGGAAGGAATATTTTTGTAGCAACATTTTCCATAAAATGTTTGATGTATTTGAATGATTTATTCCACTTTTGTTGTGGCATGAGTCTTTTTTTTTCATACTGTTCATTTAAGAATTTCAGGTTGCATCTGTTAAGATTTCAAATTGCAGTTGATGTCTGGTTATTTGAACAGACTGTTAGGTGTTTTATACATTAATGAGGTCTACAACTGATTCTCCCAGTAAAGGAATGCTGACCATGGTTCTACTGACATCACAAACACAAATATTTGCAGTAGTGTGGTATCTCTGTGATAAGGGCTCTCATTCATTACAAGGCTACAATTAAATCTTCCAAGATCTCCTGTTGTAAATAATTGAAGAAAGAGTTTAAAAGAGAACAATTTCCTTTAGAGAGGAAATTACACTGAGGACCCTATTAGTCCTCATAGAGGACTGTATAGTCTTCACAGTCCTTATAGAGTCCTCAGTATAATTAGGTTCTGGGAAAAGGAGGCAGTATTCTGGGATTTTCTTTAAGGAAATGGTGTTTTAGTGGAGAAGACAAACAGAAAAGTAGTAATAGTGGCACAAGTCCTCCTAARGTTATTCTTTTTTATTATTAAACCTTCTTTCTTTTTTCTATCTCTGACCTGTTTCCTGTCTACCTCATTTACAAACTTAAGCTGTATCCTTTCTCAGGAAAGTGATTTGCCTTCTGATGCCATTGTCCACCTCTGTTACCTTCCATTGAAGTCTGTTTTTAAAACTTAACACTATACATGAGGGAAAAAAGGAGCACAGAAATCTAGCTCATTGTTCAAGGGCCAATTCTGGCTTGAGCAGTAGCTAGTTGGAAACCTTAGAAATGACTACTCATGAACGAAAATGCAGTCTAGGTCTGCAGGGCCCGATGCTATACAGGGCCTGCCCCAGTGGCTTCTGACTCCAGTGTTTCTGAGTCAGCAATGCGGTAGTTTGCGGGTTATTTCAATCAATAGAAGCAGCCCCAAAATTAGTCTATAGCTTAGGCTCACAGTTGAAATAATCCTTATCTGCTTCTATGCTGGGGTTTCACTTATCATACTCACTCCCTGCTTGCTATTACATTTTGTCTATCTGTCTGTAGTCTCTATACGCTAACTTTTCCAAACAAGACAGATAGCATAAAAATCGTTCCTCCAGTTTAGCAGGAGATAGCAATGCTTACACATCTACCAGACGCTGTTGTTAGTTACAAGAATATAAAATAAGAAGGTTGCAGTAGCTAATGGAATGATCCCAAGGTTTACCAGCTTGAAAAAAAATATTTTTGAAAAAAGTTGGAAATAAATTTTTTGAAAAAATCTTTGAGAAAAGAATTTAATTGAGTTTAAAGAGGAGTAATGTTTCCTTCCTCTCCCTGCAGCTTCATAACCTTGTTTGTTCTTTTTTGCTTGATTATATACAAAATATAAAAAGTGAGCAACCAAACTAGTTGATGTATTTTCCAGAGTTGTAATATATTGCAAGGCAGTAATTATCATAATCCAGATTCTCTGAGGGGAATATTTATTTTGGCTATGTTAAGATGATATTTTTGATGGATTTCTACTTCATGAAACCATGGTTATTTCTTTGAAGGCTTTAATTAGTCTTTTTTTTTTTTTTTAAGGGAGCCTTTCTACTCTCTCCACACTGGTTCTGTAATTACAGTGTATTGTCTAAACATTGGTGCTTTGAAACTATTTCATCTCTGATTATGTCAGTGGGTAGAAAAGAGAAAAACATGCAGAATTAATCATTCAAGCTATCTCTCCTGCTCAACTACCATATGCAGCAAAGAGGCATAAAATTATCAACTAAGGAATTAAAAAAAAACATTTTTTTGTAACCAAATTAGCAAGTAAAATGCATGTTCTTTAATATTTATGTTTACTGTAACAAAATGCATTGTTTTGAAAACCAATCTGTCATATATACAAGTTAGATTTTGACTTTTACTTTCTAGAAAAAAATCAGCATTTTAGAGACTCTGGAGTGGGAAAGACATTTTTAAATGGCAGTTAGTATTAAATGGCAGAAAATGGCAAAAATGGCAGATAGTATTTAAATGGCAGAAAAGTATTTTGCATTTTCAAAGTATTCATGGATTACCTCTAATACAAGAAAAGTAGTGTCAAGATACTATCAGAATTGTTTTATGAAGTGCTACACAGAAAGAAACTAAGGATTCTAACAGTAAACAGCATAAACAAATGCAGTTGGTATTTGAGCTGTAGTGAGCCTCTTCAAATACAATCCTTATGTTCAATCACAGAGATAACATTTGAAAAAGCCAGTGGTTTCTTAACATATACATTTTACAATATTTTTTTTCCTTCCAAAAGCATCATCATGTGATCAAGAACTTCAGTCAGCACTGGAGGAAGCCAAACAACCCCAGAAAGACAATGTATTCATTCCAGAGTGTGCCCAGGGTGGCCTTTACAAACCTGTTCAGTGTCATCCTTCCACAGGCTACTGTTGGTGTGTTCTTGTGGATACAGGACGTCCCATTCCTGGCACATCAACAAGGTAGGGGAATATATTTTCAATGTTCAAATATGTAATGAGAGGATCTTGGGGGCTTGATGCTCCAGTACGTTATGTACTAGCATGTAGATTTCTAGCTAGTGCAATTACTTCATACAGATTTCTTCCACTGTGAAAACTGAAAACTGACTGTAGTATCACAGGCTATAGGCTTCTACATTTCTCTTGCTTTCTTTCCTTTTCTTTTGTACTGGGAAGCCAAGGTTTTGTAGCTGATAATAAATAAACCCAGAAGAAACCTCACAACCCTATAGCTTGAACATGAAAGAACCGAGTGAGATGGGCTAACAGGAACCAAATCCAACCTCAGAAATATTCAGTTATTTTTTCCAGCAACCTCCTCAACTATTTCATATGACTAGCTTTGAGAGAACAACTGTCTGGGAACCCATAGAGAGGAAATATCATTTTAGTGTGTTATTATTAGAAGCTTGAAGTTCAGTCATCTCAACTGAGCCAGATACGTGGTAAAGCACTCTGAGCCACATAGAATAGATGTAGGCAAGGCATATATCAGGTTCCAAAGGATGTTATTTAGGCTACTTATTGAGGTTTGGCTCTTGCAGAAAAGCTGCAGACACTCATATAAAGCTGTTGAGCTGTATCACTAGCTTGATGCAAGCWTAAATCTTTTCAAATTGAAGCAAAGATTTTTTTTTCATTTGCATAAGATTTGTGAAAAGAATTTTAATACACTTGCTGCAATTATATTGCATATATTCTTGGGGAGCAGCATATTCTTCAAGTGCTGATTTACTGATAGCTGTTTGTACAATAGCTCTGACCATGTCAATTACACTATGATTTTCTAGATGATGCTACAGGTGATCTGATTCTGACAAGCTGAAATCCGTAAGATGTCAAATGATACAGTCCAAACTTGGCCCTGAGACTGTTAGATCAGTTTATGTGTTATGTGTAGACCTTCAGATGTGTTTTGGAGATTTCAAAGGGTCTAATATATTTTGTTTTCTKATTTGCTCACTGTTTCTTTTCTAAGTGATTCCTCTATGTGTATGTCAATTGATACAAGTTTTATTTATCCAAATAAGAGGCACTAGCCTCTAACTTTCCTTCTACACTCACAATTTAAACCATTTGATGGAGCCTTAGTTCCTGTTCATTACATTGAATAGAAATCATCTTCTTGTCCTGGGACTTTTGCTGGCCTTTTCTGTTGATCATTTTATTACAGAAGCGCATATGTGAGCCCACATTTTCCCAAGTTTATTTGCTGCTGATATATCCTTATCATCTGTCGTGTGATCTTTGGCTCATGCATATTAACTAGATACAAATCTTTGTTTTGATAGATGCATACTTTGTCTGATAACTAAAACACAACCGGCCACTTCTGTGATCCTGACCATATCTGATTTGTCTAGCTTAACTAGACCTATGAAGAATTCAAATCTCTGCCTTAGTCAAATCTGCGACTAGGGCTTTAGTCCCAGTTTTTAGCCACTAAACTAGGACTATAGTGGGATCCAAGCCAATGATATGTAATAATATCTCCAGAAGGGAGACTTCTGAGTATACTGGGGCAGCTAGAGTGCTTAATTTTACGAGTTTCATGCTACATAAAAGATGTCTAGTGAATTTAGGAGTCTGCAGTGCTAAGCATTCCTGGAAAACAAGCAGGTGAGATCATTGCTTGGAATTTAAGATGATTGTTTAGATCTCATTTCTCAGTGAGATTTAGATAGGATGAGAACATATTATTATTTCTGGATTTTAAGATTTCTTTTCACCTATACTTATAAAATTAAACTCTTTCCATTAGAAATGACAAGAAAGATAAAAGTATGTTTTGTTGTTGACACTCTGGAGATTCTTTGATGAAATAAGCACTACAAATGGTCAGTATAAGGTGACAAATATGCAGTTGTCTTATAGTAATTATTTCTTATAGAATGAAATAGGAGAAGAATGTATGAAACTTCTCTTATTTCAAGAATCATGAGCTTGTGGAAAGTTATTTATGCTACTTTCCACTTTTCCTCTGCAAAATGCAAATCAAAAGAGTAGACATTACAACTCTACTGCCGAAACTGATAGCACTGCTACTTCTGGTGGCAAGAAAAATGCTTTTCTTTCTGATGTCCCTGTTCTGCAAACTGGAACATGTTGATCTGGAATGGTGTTGGGATAATAACTTATCAGTTTGGATGTTGTTTGGCTTGAGTACATTAATGGAGGTGAAATTTCTCGTATTACTTGCCTCTGCATGCCAAAATAAAAAGTACTTGCATTAAATTAGAGCAATAAAATGAAAGATCGTTATGATTACTCACTGTTCTAATGCCTTGTCATTTGAAGTCAAGCTAAAATGTTTGTCAGTAAAGGAATTTCAGAAAAAAAAATTATCACTCCAGAGTTATAATAAAGGTGAGTGAATGAAGAACCATTGCAAGACATTTAAGTCAGTGTCCTCCTGGAAATGATGTTAACAGAGGCTTAATGCAAAGGAACTCAAAGGAAATGTGTGAAGTTGAAGACTTGGCACAAAGTTGGCTTCTATGAAAGCCCAGGGGAAGTATCCATTAGACTGAAAGGAAGCTGGGCATTTAAATGCTACAAACAATATTCTCCTGGAAAACTTCAACTTAAGCATTCAAATATGAAATAAAAGGGCCATTGGGAAAAAAAATCTGTCAGTATGGTATTTAACAGGTAGCTCCTAACCCCTCCTAGATACTTAATCACAATAGCATGACCCTCAGACTCTTTCCCTATGAAAATTGAGGCAAGTTTGTTTTTCTTATCAGTGCTTAGCATGGCCTCATCTCTGTAGGATTAAACAAGTAAATTTCTAGTGATTAAGTTTTTTTTAGCATTTTCTTGTAACTTAAATTATTAAACATGGATGTTTTGTGTTACAGCATTTTAATACCAAGTTGGCTTTAATAATTGAGCTTATGATGTGCTACCTCTTAAGCTTAAATGTACTTAACAAAAAATTAAGGCAGAAGTGAAGAAGTGGAGAAGAGTGGAGACCAAGAAAAAAAGAGTAGGCACAGAGCAGTAACAATAACTGAAGACGACAGAGGAATATAGTGGGTATCAGATTWATCAGGGCCAAGGCTCATTGCCAGAAACTGCATTAGAGAGTGCTGCCCAGAGATTTCCGTTTCACTCTTGGCTGATTGAAGTGGTCATTCATTAGGTATCTGCATCTCAACCAGGCTATCAAAGTAAAGTTGCTATTCCCAGCATTCTTTAGGAAGAAAAAAAGTGCTGTTGAACACCTTAGCCTGTGAAACAACATCACTTCTTGCATSAGCTAAAATTAGATGAGTCAGTGGGCATTTTCTTCATATGACATGGAAATAAATTAAATATTGAAAGGTAAAAGAAAAACTTTTGTTTCATTTTGCCCTATAAGAAAGGTCAGAATAATTACTTTTTTTTAAAAAAAAGACAGTCTGGCTAGGACCCCGTGCTACTAGATCATTTTATACTTTATTYTTTTTTCCTAAAATTTTAGCTCAGTATATTTTGATTAGACCTTTGAATATACAGCTCAATAAATACAATATTTTGGAACATGTAATGGTCTCATTTCAAAGATGGATGGATGTTTATATAAAATACAAGGGATACAGGATTCAGTGAATGGGTATGTGTGTGCACAACTCTGTATTTCACAGGGACATATGTAATATTATCATAGTTTACTTTTTAGAATCGAAATTTTTCCTGAAGTGCTGTACATTGAAGCCTGTAGATTCTAGTTATTTGACTAGTAAAGCTTCTAAGAAAAATAATCCTACAAACTGAAATGCTATTATTAAAAGCATAGAAAGATTAAAATGTATTGAGTCATTTCTGATCTAGCATAAACAATGATTTATTTCATATATAACTTTAACTTTGACAGATTAAAAAATTTAAAAAAAACTATTAAAAAAAAAACTAGTAAGGATGAAGTACGAAAGATACAAACTGTGTCTTGGGTAGCTGTAACAGAGCTTTTTATACCTTGCTATGCTTTATGGCCTATGACATTCATGCAAATGCTTCAATATATTTAAGTAGGATACAGTAGGTAATAGAACGTCAAATGTGAATCCAGCAACATGTGAAACACTTTGCTTTATTGCAACATACTTGATAATTCGTTGTTTAAGCACACTAAAAGTATAAAATAAAAGTTTTGCTCATCCCAGGTAATTTGTATAACTAGGATGCAATTGAATGAMGTATATCAGTCTTGCCCATTGTTAAACAGGAGCCCAGTGTCCTATCAAAAAAGGACTGCATAATGCAACAGCCAGTCCCATACAATATGATACTAATGAAATATTGGAAGCTTTTGTTAGCATCCAACAGAAAAAAAAAAAAAAA